TGTATGGTATTATTACGTACATAAATTGTGGAAGAGAAGTTGTGTTTGACTAATTTGAGGTTTGTGAAGATGTAGCTAGTGAGTAGCTAGGCAATGTAGAATTAGTTGATGTAATACTTTTGGATTTCTAACTGGTATTTGATAATGTGCCTAATTAAAAAGGTTGTTTCACAACCTACAGGCTCATGGTAATTGGGATGATGAGTATGAATAAAGAATTGGTTAATGGACAGAAAGTACAAAAATAGGGCTAAATGGGACATTTGAGTTATACCTCACTGCAGTAGTGCTAGAAATCAAGAAGTCGTTATAAAAGTTAAATATCTTAAGTTAAAGATTTAAATATGTGTCAAATTCCCTCATTTAGCTCATTGTCAGACCCAGGTTGACAGAAAGCGAGACCAGGTTTCTGTACTTAAAATGAATTACAATTAATTATAAGCAAATAGACACTAGCTACAGGCAAACAATTATGAAATGTCAACATAAAAAAGACTTTAAAACTCTAATCTCCTTATCTCCCCCTTAAACACACACAAACACAGGAACATAAACATGGGTGTCAAGACTGGAAAGGCATATCAGTGGTTCCTGTTGACAGGGTTGCTGAGATGATTCTTGTGCTAATCGAGACATTGTTACTCAGTCTATAGATAGTAGGAACTGCAGATGCTGGAAAGTCTGAGATAACAAGGTGTAGAGCTGGAAGAACACAGCAGGCCAAGCAGCATCATAGGAGCAGGAAGGCTGACGTTTTGGGCCTAGACCCTTCATCAGCAAAATGTTATGTATTTTTCTGATTTTTCTGATGAAGGGTCTAGGCCCGAAACATCAGCTTTCCTGCTCCTATGATGCTGCTTGGCCTGCTGTGTTCATCCAGCTCTACACCTTGTTATCTCATTGTTACTCAGTCTTCCTTCTCTGGATACTTTCACTTATTTGTAGGAGGCAGAGGATGACAAGTTCACACTTATATAAGGCCTCTGACTTTTTATTTAGAAATTACACCTTGCAGCAACTACTGAAGATAAAACAGTTTTCTTCAGGTACAAAGTATATTTTTAAACTGCAGAAAACAGAGACAACTCCTGACCATGTGGAGATAGGATGGCTTCTACCTTGTTCACAGCCCCAAACTGTTCAGCTAACCGAGAACCAAATCACAGTGCTGGCAAGCAGAAGGTCTTTTTTTAATGATCTGTGGATTAGTGAGCAGTTAATCAACTACTTGTTGCTGGCTGAATCTTCATTTGTACACAGTCCTTGGCTCCAGCTCACATGTACCTTCTTCTACTACCGCTTGAACCTACAGCTGTGTAAACAGTATCTACAATGAGTGTCCGGTTACTTCTTCCAAATGTGTGCAGCAATCCTTAGTTTTTGAAACAATAATTTTCTTATTTCAGTCCAGAATCAAAAATACAGAAAAGCAAAAAGACACATCTTTACCTGTGATGCAAGAATCAATGATGGGTCCTCATCTATTTACATTCTATATTGATGATTTAGACTAAAAATAATAAATTCAATTTGCTCGTGGTAGAAAACTAGATAGAATAGTCAGCTGTGACAAGGACATAAAGAGGCTTCAAAGGATTCAGAAATGTGGACAACAAGGTAACACTTTGGATATAATAGAGGGAAGTGTGAGGGTATTCAATTTAGCAAGAAGAATTTAAAATTTTTTCTACAATAGAGAAAACAAATTTCAAACGTTGATGTTGGGTGAGATTTGAGTGCTTTTGTTCAAGAAGTGCAGATTTAGCAAAGCACAGCAAACTGCTTGGAAAGCACATAATGTGTTGTGGTGTAGTGGTAGTATCCCTAACACCTGGACCAGGAGGCCCAGTTCAACTCCCACCTGTTCCAGGGGTCTGTGATAACAACTCTAAACAGGTTGATTAAAAATACTTTTTTTTTTAAATTGCAAGGGGTTTAGAATGCAGAGGTCAGGAATCCTGCTACAATTATACAGGGTTTGAGATAAATCCACAGTTGGGATACTGTGAATAGTTTTAATCTCCATAGCGAAGGAAGGATATAATTGCCTTGGAGATGATGCAGAAAATCACTAGAATGAAACCTACAATGAGAAGATTGTCCTATGAGAAGCTCAGAATAGGTTGATATTGTCTGGATTTTAGAAAAATAAAAAGTGATCTAATTTGAACATATTTGCTTCTAAAAAGGGACATGCTACGATAGCTGCTAAAGAGTTGCTTCTTCTAGTTAAATCATTGTTTCTGAACAAGAAGCACATCGTTTAAGACTAAAACAAGGAGAAATTTCTTCCAAGGGTTTCAAATCTTCATAGTGAACTAACCCAGAGAGCTGTTGATGCTCCTTTGTTGAATATATTTAAGGCGGGAATAGATACTTCAACTTATCCATATCCAAAATCTAAGGTCAAACATCATTCACGATCTTACTGAATGGCTTCAAGGGGCTGTACAGCTGACTAATTCTTATGGTTTTGATGTACATGTTTTGCTATTGAACTAATAATCCAGAGGTCTGGACCAATAATTCGGAAAATGGGCATTAAAAAAAAATCACATCATGGTTGTTTGAGAATTTACATTAAAATTGGGAATATTAAGAAATAAGATAATATTAATAAACAGGCCAGACTGGTTTACTAAAAAAATCTTCTCTGTCCTTTCCTGCTCTGCCCTATTTACAACTTCAGTCCCATAACAACATGGTTGACTCTTAAATATCCTCTAAACAGAACAGCAAATAATTCAGTTGTATCAAACTACTACAAATAATTAGAAACAAGATCAGAAATTGCTGGGAAAACTCAGCAGGTCTGGCAGCATCTGTGGAGAGGAAGCAGCGTTAACGTTTCAGGTCCAGTGATCTCAGAGTACAATGGGACCTCGATAAGATGGGCAGAGGAGTGGCAAATGAAGTTAATCTAGATAAATGTGACATGCTGCATTTTGGAAAGGCAAATCAGGATAGGACTTGTACACTTAACGGTAAGGTCCTGGGGAGTGTTGCCAAACAAAGGGTCCTTGGAGGTTCATAGTTCCTTGCAAGTGGAGTCACAGTTAGAACAAGGTAGTGAAGGCGGTGTTTGGTATGCTTGACTTTATTGGTCAGTACATTGAGTTATAGGAGTTGGGAGGTCATGTTGTGGCTGTACAGGACATTGGTTAGGCCACTATTGGAATATCGCACGCAATTCTAGTCTCCCTGCTACAGGAAAGATTTTGTTAAACTTGAAAGGGTTCAGAAAAGATTTATAAGCATGTTGCCAGGGTTGGAGGTTTTGAGCTACAGGGAGAGAGGGAATAGGCTGGGGCTATTTTCCCTGGAGCAACAGAGGCTGAGATGTGACCTTATAGAAGTTTATAAAATCATCAAGGGCATGGATAGGGTAAATAGCTAATGTCTTTTCCCCAGGGTAGGGGAATCCAAAACTACAGGGCACAGATTTAAGATGAGAAGGAAAAGATTTAAAAGGGACTTAAGGGGCAACTTTTCATGCAGAGAGTGGTACATGTGTGGAGTGAACTACCAGAGGAAGTGGTGGAGTCTGGTACAATTACAACATTTAAAAGCTTGGACGGGCATATGATTAAGAAGGGTTTAGAGGGATATGCGTCAAATGTTGGCAAATGGGATTAGATTAATTTAGGATATCTGGTCAGCATGGGCGATTTGAACCTAATGGTCTGTTTCCATGCCTTACATCTCTATAGCCCTTCTTCAGACCCTTCTCTGTTGTAAACAAGAGTCACTGGACGGGAAACATTAACTCTGCTTTCTGTCCACGGATGGTTGCAGACCTGCTGAGTTTTTCCAGCAATTCCTGATTTTCAGTATTCGCAGTTCTCTTTATTTTGCTACAAAGAAAACTGACTACAGTGGTTCACGAAGGACAAATAAACGGGAAGTATTGACATGCCCTATTTTCCTCACACCACTCATGATACAGATCTTTCCTTAATCACGTTAAGGGCTTTGACGACCTTCCTGTCTAGAATGAACAGCAGACACCGGTTTTATATTGTGCTTCAATTTTTGTCTCAGTTTTCTCCTTACTTTAGTGGCGCCTGCCTCCTGTTCATATCAAACAACAGTTTCTAAAGACTCAGAGTTAGCAAGAACTACCGATGCTGAAGTCTGAGATAACAAAGTGTAGAGCTGGATGCACACAGCAGGCCAGGCAGCATCAGAGGTGCAGGAAAGCTGACGTTTCGGCTCTGGGCCCTTCTTCAGAAATTTCTGGCCTACCGTGTTCCTCCAGCTCCACACCTTGTTATCTCAGTTTCTAAAGACTGCCTGCTACATTCCGAAGACACTCCCATTTTCTAGGCAATTTAAATCGCATGGATTTGCAATTGTGCGATGACTCGGCAAAATGACCTGCCAGCGAACAGCTAATCAGCGTGAGACCTCAATTTCCAACTTCCTGCCAACAACTGAATCGCCAAGGTTGACACATGAAAAATGACAGCAGGGGTAGGCATACCGGTCTTTTTGTTTAGAAGAGAACACGACGAGGGAAATGATGGAGAGTAGTTGCAGAACTCTAACTTGTGTAAGTGTTATCTCCACAAATCCAACCGAATAATCCACAATGAACCTTACCTCTACCCCGATTACTTTGAGTTCACTCTACCTGAATGAATGAAATGTACTTTGCGGGCGCGGTGTAAAGGAGTGGGGGGGGGGGGGGGGGGGGTGGGTCCAAGCTCAAGGCGTTCATTGGTATCTTGCAGGCACGTGGACAAATCTGCTGTTCCTCGACTAACCAACGAATGCATTGTTACATTCCTAAATGCAAAACCAAAACGTTCCCATTCATTGCGAGCACACGGCAAAGGGGAAGTCAGAAGGACGTACTGAAGCGTCTCCTGAAACACGGGGGTCCTGATGGGACCCAGCACAATCTGCAACAACCTACAACGGCGACAAGCGCCCTTTAGCTGCAGATCCCCGGTTACTTTTGCCCTTGTTCTGGCATGCAGTCATTTGTTGGTACTCACGGCAGTTTTCCTCATCGCTGTTGTCGGTACAGTCGTCCTCTCCATCGCAGTGCCAGAGTAAGGAGATACACCGGTCATTTCTGCATTGAAACTGACCCACGTCACAGTGTAGCCGAGTACCTCCATGGTAGAAAAAAAAAGCCTCGTGAACATTTTACAAGTCACACCATTGCAAAATGGAACAAAAGCTAAATAAACATACGACCGCATCATTCGCAACACTGCACCGACCGCAGAAGGGGCATATTCTCAAATCATTCGGTGTGATATTTAAATTTGAAATATTTGTATGACAAGAAATAGCGAGCTGTTGTTAGAAACTGCAGCGGATGTTCCAAATGCATGGTATAAAAAGCGCCAGCGCTATTCAGACACTGATTTATTGGTAGCACGTTAGCAGGAGCCAGTACTGATATTGCCGAAAAAATCAATACTCTTCCGCCTGCCCTCCAATTTCAGACTCTCCAAACACAATCCTCCTACTAGCTGCTACGAAGAAAATCGACCACTGTCCTCAATTACAAAGGAAATAGAAAAATGTGTTTCTTTAAAAAAAAATCAATACTGACCTTCAGTGATGTGAAAACGCAGTAATAACAATGTGAATGAGTGAACCCACATTGTCTCTACCGCTCATTCCCTGATGCTACAGCCTCTCTCTCTCTCTTGCAATGTGACTTCTCGGTAAAAGCGGAGCTGGTTTGAATATTTCAAACAGCAGTTACTGACGTAAGTGGATTGGAAGGAGGAACCTACAAGCGCATAAGGCGCTTTACCAGCATGTGTGAGGAAAGAGCCTCAGTCTTGATGATGCACTAAACACGTGTCGTTTAAAATTGAGCGAGGTGTTCGCTGATGGTTTCGTGTTGTACGAATTCCCAGGAGTAGCTGTTCCCCGTGGTCTGACTTTGCTGAGGATGTGGCAAGAGAGCTACAATTGCCCGTACAACTCCTGAGCTGGGAAGATGAAAAAGGCAGCACCCTCTATTTCTGAGTATGCCCGCTGCATGTGCTTGTGCAGATGATGTGCGAACATTGAGCCAAACTCTAATGTGGTGCCGGCCATCCTCCTCCGTTACTTTATCCTGCCCCTTCTTCAACTTGTTGCACTCCCAGATTACCTGTCTTCCTCTCTGAAAACGTGCTTGTGTTCATTCTGTTATTAAGAAAGAATTCCCGTTTATCTTTCTATGACCCTCTTTTGTCTTACATTGGTGCTTTCCAAAGTCTAGATGTTGATGTTTGCTGTGAAGTAGTGGAAGTGGTAATATAGTGGAAATGTCACTGGACTAGTGATCCCAGAACCACAGGTTAATGTACTGAGGGCAGGAAGATAATATTTGAATTGAATAAAAATCTGGAACAATCAAGTAAAAACCTGTCTGGCTCACTAATGCAATTTAGGGAAGTAAATGTGCCATCCTGGTCTGGCCTACATGTGACTCCAGACCCATAGCAACATGGTTGACTCTTAACTGCCCTCTGAGTAATTAGGGATGGACAAGAAATGCTGACCCAGCCACCATTGTCCATAGACCACAAAACGAGTATAAAACAAATGCAAACTTTCAAGTTCTGGCTGAATCCATGATTGTAAGCATGGATTTGGACCTGACCATTCTGCTGGTGATGTTGTGCCTGTTTTGCATCTCTGAAAACTCCTTGAACATTTTTGCAAATCATTTCAAAAGGCTGGAAAGTTCCTGAGCAGATGAGATGCTGTTCTGTGAGTATATGTTGAACTTAATGTTTTGGGTTCAGTGACCCTGCCTCGGAACTGATGGTAGCTAGGAAAATTGTATCAGAGATAGTAGGAATTGCAGACGCTGGAGAATCTGAGATAACAAGGTGTAGAGCTGGATGAACACAGCAGGCCAAGCAGCATCATAGGAGCAGGAAAGCTGACGTTTCGGGCCTCGACCTTCTTCAGAAAAAAGGCTAGGAAAATGTCGGTTTATATGCAGAAGATAGAGTGGGGGTAGGGGGAGGAGTAAACAATAGTGGGCATAGAGACCAAAGAGAGAGAAGAACAGTAGAACAGGTAAAGGAGTGGATAACGATCAGGCTAGGAGAATAAATAGCTATTAATGGACTTTGCTGGAGCACTATAGGAGGCTGAAGAAAGAGAGTTCAGAGTGAGATTGGGTACCTATCTCTTGCATTTTAGGGATACCAAACATAGATTGTATGGTTGTTTTGCGCGTTTTCCCTTTTCTTCTCTTGCCTCTTTCTCTGCCTCTGTACCAGTGTGAAACTTCACATCATTAACTTTTTCTGGATCATCAACCTGAACATTAACTGTAAAGATGCTGTCTGACCTGTTCATTATACTCAGTCTTTTCTATGACTACCAGAACAGGGCTACAGGCCATACCTGCTTACTACGGGTACAGGTCCAGTGACAATCCATCCTGTAAAGGGATTAGTCCCATTTCTCATTGTAGTGATCTGGTTGCTGAAGCTATTTTTTAAAATAAATATTTGAAAAATATTGGATAGTGTGTACCTTCATGTTGATGTGACCTCTTTCTTACTTACTTTCATGACAGCCTGCTGCTCCTTTCAAACTGGAAGCCTCTGATTAGTCCTTCAACTTCCCGAGCCCACTGCCATCCTTAATTGGATGGCAAACTTGCCCTCTGACCCCTAGTTGGCTGCCCTAGGGAAATCCGAGCTCAGCGATAGTTTTTCCCTGTGGGGGCGGGCTGAGTTTGGGACCTTGAAGTAGCCTTGACTTGTTTCTGCTCCCAAAGAGAAAATCTAGCCCATGCCTTCATTAAAAGCTTTTTGCAACTTCCTCTTTAATTGATGAAGGAACAAATTCAGAGAAGTCATGCATCACTTTTGTGATGATACTATGCAGAATAATGTTCTTCCAGTGCAACTCTTCCAATGATCCAACAGAGTGGGATTGCTGTCACCTATGTCTATTCTTATGATTCACTCCATAGCCAGAATACAATCTGGATTAGCTGTAGTACTGTTCTAGAATTCTCAAGAATCCATACTTGGTGTGCTCCTGATTCTCATCTGAATACTGTGCTCAGCGACATCATCTGAAGGCAAAATGTCAGATTCCATATATTGAAGACACTATTTTCCACCTGACCATTGCCTCTTTCCACTCATCCGCTGCCTCCACCTTTCATGCTGCTTGTCAAAAATCCAGTACAGTATTTGATGAGCCAAACTTTCTTTCAATTAAACATTGAGAAGACACAAATTAATATCTTTGGCCATTGGCACAATCTTAATTGCATAGCACCTCATTCCACCTCTTTTACTGGAAATGGCCTCATGCTGAACCAGATTGTTCAAAACCTCAACATCTTCCTTGACCCTGAGCTGACCCTTTAGTCTGATGTGCTCTCTGATTCCAAGGTCGCCTTCTTCTGCTTATATTATTGTTCATCTCCAGCCCTTCTGCAGCTGAAAGGCTCATTAATGCTTTTGTTACCCCAGATTTAATTGTTCCAAAGTCATACTAGGCAGTCTTTGGCTTGAACTGCTAATAAGCCCGAACTAGTGCAAACTGTCCATGCTCTGTCCTAGCTCATAGTAAATCCTGTCAACCCATCTTGCTACACTTGCTGATCTATGTCAATTGCCAGTCTGCTAAGGTTTCAAATTGAGTAATCTCATTTTTGCATTCAAATTTCTCATAATGTTCCCTTCCTAGCTCAGTAACTCCTTCCACACCTATAAACCTCTAGGAGCTTTGTGTTTGTCCCAATCAGGTCTCTTGTGCATCTCTTACTTCCTTCACTCCTCAAATATAGCTACCCTTCAGTTGTGTAAACCCTCAGGTCTGGCATTCAATTCCTGGAACTCTCAGCTTCTCCAATTATATGTACTACTTCCTTAAGAGACTCCTTAAAACTTATCTTTTTGAGCAAGTTTATTGTCACTGTCCTAAAGACACCTTCTTGGGCATGCTGTCAATTTTTGTTTGATTACTGTCTGTGAAGCACCTTAAGACATTTCACTACATTAAAAAAACTTTATAAATATGAATTGTTGTTAATACAATGTGATAATATTGTTCAAATGTGATTGCACCAACTTGTCTTTATGTTCACAAATAAACATTAAAAATTATAAAGCCTATTTTCATGACAGCTAGTCTCCCTTAATATCTGAGAAGGAAGATCAGTGACATTGCTGTGTTTATTTTCTTGTGTGTAAAAACAAAATGAAGATTTTTGCAGTGGAAAGAATGAAAGGCTTGCTTTATGTCGGGTCTTTCATGAACACAGGATTTCAATGCACCAATCATTCAGAGATGATTTGGATAGTTGTGCCAATACAGTATTAAAACAGCTCTATGCAATAAGTTAGTGGGTAAATGCACCATATCATGTGGTACTAACCCTTAGAGACCAAACACTCCCAGATTCTTCTCATAATTTTGAATTATGCTGCATAGTCTGACCTCGGGAACAAATGGAAATAGCGCACTACAATTGCTTTCAGTTTTCTAGAATAGGGAATAATAACCAGGCTTTCTACTGCTGTTTAAAATCCAACGGTCACTCCCATCTAGAAAGACAAGAGCAGTAGAAACATGGGAACACCACCACCAACTGCAAGTTTCTCTCCAAGCTAGTCACCAACTTGACTTGGAAATGTTTCACTGTTGCAAGGACAAAATCCTGAATTCCCTCCCTAAGGTCATTGTGCGTCAACCTACAGCAACAATTCAAGATGGCAGCTCACCATCACCTTCTCAATGGCAGCGAGGGATAGACAGTAAATGCTGGCCAGCCAGTGACACCCACATCCCATGAGTAAATTAAAAAAAGACTGCTGCTCCAAAGTGTCATGTGTAATCCAATAGCTTGTTGACATTTATTGTTTACATATGCTTCATAAGAATAGTCTCTTGAACAGATATTGTAGGGTAACCTGTGAATCCATGATTCAGCAATCTTCAAAAGAGGGAAACAAACAAATTAATATTAAAAAAAATCAAAGACTGCTATGCAGTAACAGTTTATTCACGTGAATAATGAGAGGTTCTAAAGGTCAGTGATAAGCATCACATTTAAACAAAGTCTGTTCTGTGCCTTAAAAATTACCCTGGCTGTGTCTATGACAATTATGTTCCAAATTTTCAGCAATATTGTCAAAGTGAAAGAAGTAAGTGAAGGAAGCTGAAAGGAAAGGATTCAGGTAAATCTAAAAGCACAAACAAGAAACTACTGGGCGGAGGGAGAATGTGAGGGGGAAGTGATTAATGTTTGTTTTTCATTTGAAAATTTACTTCATTTTGATGTTTTGGTTCGCCATGAAAGAAAATTCTTGTAATTTCTATGGTGGGGATGAACTGATTACCTCACTGGGAAGATACTGCTATAAGTCCAAGATAAAAAGGTAATGGATCTCCATCTGTAGAGATGCTATCAATTCCTTCCAGATCTTCCACTCCTGCATAAATCTATCTTTATTTTAGCTGTGTCTAGACTATCTAGCTCAAGTCTCATCTTCCTTGATCACAGGAAAGCTTGTACTGGGTAGAAAGAGGATTAAGTGTTTTTAGGTTTAATGCAAAAAAGTTTGAAGAACAATGAATGGGGAGCACAGATGGAAAAATTGCTAAGCCAAGCATGCTACTGTCTGGATGGATGGAAACCTAACAAATGTTGATATGCAGAGGAATTTGAGTACATTTGTCCATTAATCACAGAATGTTGACAGCCTGTTACAGCAATTAAGAATGGTTGCCTTTATTACAAGGAGCTTGGTGCATAAG